ACCTCCCGACAGAGGCCGTCCTCCAAAACCAAGGATGCAGTATCGAGTCAGATTCATACACCATACTGATGCTAATGAAGACTGGTGGTTTACTAGAGAAGAGCTACAGCAAACAGCACCCCAAGTGATTGCAGGCTACGAAAGAGCACTCAAGGGGAAGATGCCTGCAGAATAGAAGACTTCTCAGGGGACTATCGAAGTAAAGGAGGAGGGAATGTGAGGATTTGGCTCCTCTGCAGGCTTAAGGGGCCCCCTGATACAAATGTGCCCGCCCTAAGTATAGGCGGGCCTAACAAATCACGAGAGGCCCAAGGCTGTCAATTTCGTATTTGGGGTACAGGCAGTTGTGTCGCGCCAGTTGGTGGAGAGAACCCAGGCCTCGAGCAGCAAAGATTTTCCACGGCCTTCTAGGCCTTTCTGAAATGCAGGCCCTGGGCAGGATTCGCAGCAACATACACTGACAGTTGGGAGGCCTAACTGAACGAGGCCCAGCAGCTGCAGCAGAGGACCAGCCACCTGGGGCCTACCGGAAGCTTCTGGGCGGAGGCCCAACCCAGCCAAGCCGCAGGCCTGGCCAGAACTCTTCCATATAGGAAAGAGCTCGTGGCCAGGCACAGCATTCGGGCACTTGCAAGCTAGCGGCAGTGCTGCTGGAGCGGAGTCTCGCGGGCTGCTGCTTGCGCTAAGGCAAGGTGCTGCACATGTCCGGTCGTGTACAAAGCACGGTGCTGCTGAGGGCAGCGCCATAGCCCAGCCTCCATAGCTGGCTGGGGCTTGGTTGTACAGTAAGGCGCAAGGTGGTCTTCGGATGTACAGAGGGAAGACGTGGGTGGAAGACGAGGAAGAAGGCAGGATGATGATGATGATGATGTGAGGGCACATACCTGGCATTGGCGATGGTCTGCATTGGGCGACATCTTCAAGTACTTCGTTGGCTGCTGACGTCAACAGTTGCATTGTCAATTAGTAGGCAGATAGTAGCTGTGTAGGGAGTAGGCTGGGCGCCGAGCGCCAAGTAGGGAGAAGGGGCCTGGATACTGTTGTTTGTGGTGGCGAGAGCAAGCTCTCATTGACATTCGGTTTTCAGTGTTACGATTCTCCATTGGTGTTATATTGGTGCAATGGTGCTTTCTGGACACTGTGATACTTTCTGGCTCTCAATGTGATTGTGCAATCTGGATTTTGTCATCTCGCTATCCGCTCATTTTCCTTGCAATTGGTCTTCTTCTTGTACATACGAATTTTCGCTCTACTATTTTTACAGCAAGAGAGCTTATAGCTTATAAGTCATAAAAAGATTTGTGTTAATAATCAAATTCTCCTTCGGCCTAGCTTTCAAGTTTCCAGTGGTGATCTTATTTCTACTCAACAAAATTGCAAGTCAACCATCAAATACAACCAACCGCATCCCCCCCCAGCAAGCGCAGTACAGACCCAAAGTCAGGTTTCAAAAACAATCGGTGGATGGCTCTCTGACGACCAGTCGGCAGGCTGCCGACCGGTCGGCCCTACCAGTAGGCTGCAAAACGGTCAGAAGTCTCAGTCGGCAGTCGGCTAGAATGCAACCCAGTGTGGGATGAAAAAGAAGGGAAACCCCTAACGATCCCCCACTCACTGAAGGGCAGCAAGGACATATGGTTCCGATTACTCAGAAAGTTGACTTTTGGGACTAGACGGAAGGACGGTCCGTTAGTATGACCACCACTCTATGACTTGGTGGCAAGTTTGGTTAAAATGACCCTTGGGTTTTGTTATAAATGGCATGAGAAGTTGTCTGAAAATTGGGGCCTCTGTTAACCGACTCTCCCTAGGGAACACATCAAGGAGCCGCAAACAGCATCCGGCTCTCATGTCAACCAGCAACTCATCCAGCCAGACTTCCTAGCTTCTCAGCTCCTGGCCCATATCCATTCTCGCTTTGGATATAATTTTATGACATTCTTAGCTAAGGCTGAGAGTGAAAGGGAAGGGAGGAACAGGCAATCTGACAGTAAATCCTCCATGATGGAGCGATCAATCCTGGTCAAGGGTCCTTAAGACTAGACGAAAGGAAGTGTAGAGTGGGTAGTTTTCATTCTTTCCGGAGGGATATGAACCGGACTGATGGTCCCCAGAATGGACAAGTAGCCAGGGCCATAAGGACCCGTTTACTAATTAAAAAAAAAAAAAAAAAAAAAAACAACAACTAATGGGAGAGTAATGTCGCCACCGAACGGCGAAGACTGATGTCCCAAACACCTATTTGAGGCTTTTTTAATGCCCAATGGGACAAAAAGAAAATTTGTAAGCCTGTACTTGAACAGGATCTGCTCCTTAGGCAGTACACACCTGTATCTATGAAACAACAAAAACAAAACAAAAAGAAAAGAAATCGCTGCTAGTGTGGCGCACGGGCAGGTGCCGCGCTGCACGCGGTGCGCAGCTGCAAGTATGCAAGGATGGATAGTGAGCATGCTGAGATGGGGTGAGCTCCACAATTGTCATCAAACCATGCTATCCAGGCCTTCCCTGATAGCTCCCTGAAGGAAGAGGTAACAGTGGACGGCTGGTGGCAAGACGGCAAGACGGCAAGAGCATGGAGAGATGGTGCGTGAATGGAGGTGGACAAGTTTACAGCTCACAGGTGCGTGTGGGACGGATGTGTTTTGTCAGGTAGCATCATTAGGTGCATTTGTTTTGGTTGCAAAATTGAGGTTATCAAATGGGAGCAAGACGGGTTAGAAAGGTTGTGGGATGAACATCTTTAGTTGTTCTTAAGCTGCTTCGAGTGGGTTGGGAAACCATTAGTAACCACGCGTCATTGCCAGGCACATCCTTGAACAACCAACCTGGTTGGAGATTGCCAGCGCCCAGGAGTCACGTGCATACGGTGCGTTAGCACATCCTTCGCACTAAAACTCTCGAATGCGCACAGGGCGAAAAGAGAGCAGGGGTGAAGAACAAAACGAAAAAAGAAGAAAAACTTAGCATACCTGGGTGTGATTGTGCATAGCATGCACAACATTGCACAGCATTGTTCTGCATAGGATAACTGGGCGTCATTGTGCAACGGCTTGACCGCACCCCGTGACGGCTTTGCTCTCTGCACCCTTGCTGTGAGCCACTGCTACAAAGAATTACCGGTCCCCACACCACGTTACTCCGCAAAGAGCTAACCTTCCTCAGTTGACCAAAATACTCTTGCTCAAAAAGAGAAACAAACAAGGAAAGATTTTCTTGCTCAGAAAAAAAGCATAGCACCATCTGGGCCAAACAAAACCACCAGGCACTACAGGTAAGAGCTCGCTTGGCACTTTAGCAGCTAAATATAGCTGCAGTTGACTGTATTTGCCTGCTCCAGACCTGTATCGGCCGCCCGTGGCCTCTGCTTGCCCAAATTGGTGTTTCGGAAATCTCCGGACTCTCTTGGGAGATGCTGCTGGAAATTTGGACTTGGGACTCGACTTCCTCTGCAGGTACCAGCGGACTTTTACCCACCTGCGTTGTTTCAGTACTTCAGCCTATAGTTTCGGTTGAAAGGATTTCACACAGTCAGTCCCAAAGTCCCAGTCCCAAGGTCCCAATTGGTCCCGGTCCCAGGCTGTCCCGGTAGGGTAGGTTGTAGGGTCCATAGGTCGAAGCATTGTTTGAACAATGTGCAGCACAGCATGCCATTGGAATTCATAATCAAACTTCCAGGTTTTAAAACCTGCTGCAGCAGTTTGCTGTGGGTGTTTCTTTTCTTGTCCCACGGACTCCCACCACTATAAGAACTGCTAATATAAGAAATTTAAAATCTGGGCCATCCAAAGTCCTATGGGAAACAAATCTCGACTCTGGGCCTTCGCATCCTATGGTTCAATGGCCCGGAGACTTGCGGAATCTTAAGATTTTAAGATCGTTTGACGATCCAGGCCGTTGGCCTGGTAGCAATGGGTTGACAGCCCGGATCAAAGTAGAATCGACCTACTCGGTAACAGCCCGAATCAAAGTAGGGTAAGGCTAAGTCCTATGGCCAATCCCGAGGTCCGCCCGCTGCGCCAGTTGAGGAAAGGACCCTTTGTCCTTTGTGGGCTCCACCTGCCACGCATGTGGCGGCACATGCCCACGCTTCAGCCGAAGTGAGTGAGCGAGCAAGAGAGAGAGAGAGAAAGAGAGAGAGAGAGAGAGAGAGAGAGAGAGAGAGAGAGAGAGAGAGAGAGAGAGAGAGGGAGAGGGAGCCGGACTTTCCATTTCCTACCCAGCACCATGTGCTCACTTCACAGCCCACAACTGCCACACCGCAGTGCCTCCATGTGACACACACACACACACACACACACACACACACACACACAGAGAGAGAGATAGATAGATAGATAGATAGATAGATAGATAGATAGATAGAGATAGCCACCAAGGTCAAAGCAACACATCGCAGCTGTATTCAGGGTAGATCCTATATGGACTAGCGAGAGCGAGAGAGATCTTGAGCATCAAGGGAGGTTGAGCGACAGAAGTCCTCAGTACACACACAGAGAGAGAGAGAGAGAGAGAGAGAGAGAGAGAGAGAGAGAGAGAGAGAGAGAGAGAGAGAGAGAGAGAGAGAGAGAGAAGCCAGGCATCGAGGGAGGAAGAGTTGAGTGCATACCTGTGTTGAGTTGCAGTGATGACTCGCGGCAGCTGCCACTGGATACTTGAACTCTCCAATTGTATATTATCATATTTTTTAGTGGAATTACATCTGGCGCTGCTTCATGTGTTATCTCTCGGGTGTGGTGTGAACTCCCGTGTGCATCCTCTCATCTTGTGTGCGAGTTGGTTTGGAATTGCGAGGTTCATTGCACTTTCCTAAAATTCCACAATAAACTCTCCACGACAAAACCCCCCCATTCAATTTACTTCGCCATTATCCTAGATGAACTGACTTCATGGCACAGTGGCGATCCAGCCAGACACCACCTAGACATCCCAGAGCTCCACTGAAACCTGGCCTCTTTTTTTTGCAACCTCCCTATGACCAGCTGCACCCAGCCACCTACCTTGCTTGCATCAGTGAGATCCTAGCTTCTTCCACAGCCTCAGCTGCACACAAGTGAAGACAAATGAATCCAAGTGAACATAAGAGAACACAGGTGAACACAAGCGAACACAAGCGAGCCTTTAAACCTCAACCCAGCTCATCTACTTGATATGAACTAAAAGCTTGCACAATAGTCCAGTAAGAAACTGCAAGCTGGATCCACCCTATATACGCCACCAAGAACACTGCTGCAGGGACTCTCCATCAGAAATACCTCATCATCATCATCTATTTGCCAGGGTCATTCTCAGGTCTTCTTCTGCTGCAGCTACTTAAACAGACTACAAGTGTTGCAGCAGATCCTCAAGAGTCTGTGCATCGACAGCTTGAATGAGCCCTGCTGCTACCACAGAGCGGACATCCAGGAAGCTCCTGTATCATCGCAGGAGATTATCCAGAGTGTGAAAGACAAATTCTCCATCATCTGCGTTGCATAAGCCACAATGCTGCACATTCATCTTCCCAAAAGTTCGGACAATAAATGAGTTCGGAGATCCGATCAAACTCTCCCTGCATGTAAGCGGTTTTCTAGCACGGAAAACCGCATGTGTGGTTTTCCGTGCTAGAAATATCGATGTAGCTGCTGCTGCACATACTAACCTCACAATCAAGAGAGAGAGACTGAACCTCTGCACTCATTTACCATCTGCACAGCTGGAAAGATCTATGTGACAGCTGCTGCACAAAATAACCTCGCACTAGGGCTGCCGCACCCAATTCACTGGCTAGTGCCTGTTTTGACAGCTGGTGGCACAGAACCTGGCTGAGCCACATAGATTCCTCTGGTACCAAGAGCATGGTCCTCCTTCGTTAGACATGGATGGATCTTTCTTATTATGTATCCAAAAGTAATTACGCCTAGAAGATGTGAGTATACCCTAAGCGAGTGCCAGCGGAGAGCAGACATCTTCTCCCGAATAAAGCACACGGTTTCAATAGATGCGTTAGGGGCAACTTCCAGTTTAGATAAAGTGATAATAACCATGCATTCTATTCGGATAAAGACAATAGTAACAGCTGAGCATGTAAAGGTCTCTGAGAAATCTATAAAACTCTGTACTTTATGCAACGATCCTAAAGGATTACGAGATTAGTTCGCCCTAAACCGGTTGGAGGTTGCACTCAGCTCTAGAAATCAGCTTTCCAGGGCAGATCCTAAGCCAGGCTGTCATTAGGGCCACACACACACAAAAAAAAGGACGAGTTTCAGCCATTCAGAATCCAGCAGGTAAGTAGTCTGACACCCAGAGAACAAGGCCCACCGTTTTCGGTCCATCTGACATCTGGATAGCAAGGGCCACCATTTTCGGTCCAACAATCTCAAGGTACCTTCCGGAAGCACCTTGAGATTATAGTACAACATGGCTGTGTCATCCTATAATTTGTTAAGCCACCAGTACACCCGGGCCTGGAGGTGCCTTACTGCGTGCCAAGCTTTTCCGAACCGCCAGCGGCGCAGTTTTTTTCTTTTCTGGCTGGCGCCGCCAGCCATTGTGGTCCGGTCGGCCGAGCCTCCGAAATTTTTGTAGGCGACGAGTTCCATTTTCAGCAAGGCTGGGGCCGCGTACTGGCGGTTTAAGACTCGTCCTAGAGACGTTTTCACAACACTGGACACGAAAATGAGATTACGGGACCAACAGACATGTCAAACAAGACCCTAAGTAGATGGTAGTCAAACTCGTAACATGTGTATCCAGCTCCTATCAATGATTCCTACCCATGATGCCTCATTTTGGCCACCAGAGCGCTTTCACATGTCTTCTTCTTTAAATGTCAGAAGAAAATATAATAACAACATGCTCCCCTTCCTCCCCCCCCAACTCTCACCCTCATGGCCACTCATAATCCCCCTCTTTGCCCCAGAACAAAATTCTAGAGGGAACAACCCACATTACCCACATGACAGCTGGACTTCTATTTCTGTTCTCGTCGGATGCCCATCTACTCATGGGGATACCCACCTACTCATGGGGATACCCACCGTGGACCCCACTCCTCTGAATGATACCCAATCACCATCACTGTCCAGACAATTTATATCCTATGCTTCTTTTTGGGTGGGTGGGCAGGGGAGTCAAGAGGGTGCATTCCTGAACGGAGGTGGGGCCACAATAAACACAAATCTGCAAATTTACGGCTGGAGTGGCTATCCCATGAAAGCAAAAAAACAGGAAAGACCAACAGACATGTCAAACAAGACCCTACGTAGATGATAGCCAAACTTGTAACATGTGTATCCAACTCCTAGCAACGATTCCTACCCATGACGCCTCATTTGGCCACTAGAGCGCTTCCGCATTTCTTCTTTAACTGTCAGAAGAAAATATAATAACAACATGTTCCCCTCCCCCCCCCCCCCCCCCCCCCCCCAACTCTCACCCTCATGGCCACTCATAATCCCCCTCTTTGCCCCAGAACAAAATTCTGAAGGGAACAACCCACAGGACAGCTGGACTTCTATTTCTGTTCTCGTTGGATGCCCATCTACTCATGGGGATACCCACCGTGGACCCCACTCCTCTGAATCATACCCAATCACCGTCACTGTCCAGACAATTTATATCCCATGCTGCTTTTTGGGTGGGTGGGCAGGGGAGTCAAGAGGGTGCATTCCAGAAAGGAGGTGGGGCCATAATAAACACAATCTGCAAACTTACGTCTGGAGTGGCTATCCCTTGAAAGCAAAAAACAGGAAAGACACAAAGGTAAAAGTGACTACTCCGCAAAGTCCCACTACCGGTATTGAAAAATGATTCAGATTCGGATTCCAACGACACCCCTTCAGGCTACAGAAGGCTTGGACATATGCCGGGAGAGGAAGAGAAGGGGGATGCTTTTTGAGTTGCCTGCCATGCTGGGATGTTCAGGCCTGACAAGCCCAGTCCCCGACATCTAGTCCCCTCTGGCATCATGAAGTTCAACCTCTCTAAGGGCATACGAACTCACAAGTCAATTTTCCTGGATAGGGTCTAGATGAGAGTATTGAGATTCATTCGTCACTTCTTGATTCTATCCTGGCACTCACTCCGCTTGCCAGAGCAGACGCTTCGCGTCTGATCTATTCAGTTGAACCCACCTCACTCCCGTCTCTGGCTGCAAATTCAGTTGAAGAAGTTCCAGTATGAGTTAGACCACCTATACATTTTCCAGCTACGCAGACCTCTGACAGTTTTTCCATCATGAATGAATTCACCTGCTTGTTGTCAGGCCCGTACATCCATGAAACGGACAGCACTTTCGCTGGTACTTCCTTTCTCGCGGACATACATACATTTTCATTTTTTCACACTATGACTTTCTGGACGTATCTGGCTGCAAATTCAGTCGATAAAGTTCCAGTATTAGTCAAACCACCAGCCCCTTTTATGCGGACCTCTGACATGTTTCCATTATGAATGAATTTAACTGAGTGCAGGCAGGCCTGTGCATCCATGAAACGGCCGGCATGATAGCTGGCACTCCATTGTTCGTGGACTTGTGCTTTAACCCATGGTATAAGAAAGAGTAGCTGGAAAGCAAAAGGGAATCAGAGGGTAGATACTGCCCGTGGGGTGAGAGAGCAGCAGGAGGATGGGGGAGGTAGGCCTGATTTTGGGTTGTAAGCAAAGGCAGGAAGGGTCTGTGTACCGAAGAGCCCAGTTCAGATGTCAGGTCTTGTTTGGCACATACTTTCACACATCAACAACTTGAGAAAGAAAAACAATAAGAGAGCTGGTCAGAAAGGGGGAAAGCCTCGATTGTTGAGTACTGTCTGGTTCTATCCACCAACCCGTGGTCTTATTCCAGTTTATTTTAATTTCTGAGGTGAGCTGAAAGGCGTGCACGGCCCTTGTGAGCACTCGGAATGACAAATCTGAGGCTATGATTAGAACAGTTGGGTCATCCACAAATAGTATCGTAGTAGGACAGGATAGTTCCCCTCCAGGTCGTTGTGGGTTTCCTACTAGTCTCTCGGTTGCTGGATCTTTTCTTAGGAAAGAGGCTATATCGCTTCCATGATGAGGAGGGAAATGGGTGCTGCTAAGGGATCTCCTTGTCTAACTGATCTTGTCATTCTGTAAGCTTCAACATGTGATAGCCCAGTTGGTTAGAGCTCCGGCGTTGCAACGGCGAGGTTGTGGGTTCAATACTGTCAGCCCTCAACCTTCCCTGCGCACGATCAGCTGGTGCTAGGTTGGCACCAACGTACTTGTCTCCCAGCCACATACACAGATCAGTTGATGTCGTAGCTCACCAGGTAGAGGTAGGTGTTGCAAGGAAGAGATCCAAGGGTTCGATTCCATTGGCCTGAGGGAGATAGCTGGGGTGCAGGCAAGGATGGGCCAGGTAGGCCTTGTGGATGAATGATCACGTAGTCGATTACCTTAGTGCCTCGCTTTGGGGAGGCAGGGTCGTATGTGGGATGAGGAAGGGGGTTCCAAACAGCTGGGGCTTTCTGAGGGGTTAGAAACCACTCGGATGTTGATCCTCCTTCAGGGGAGTTGCCCTTTCTGGGGGTTAGTGACCACCTTGGTTGTTTATCCTCCCTCATGGGGGACTTGCAGCAGGGGGGCCTCTGGGGGGTTAGGCAGTAGTGCGGTCATTGGCTTGGGCTGGTTACAAGCCCAATGTCAAAGAACAATTCTTGGTACTCGACGCTGAGGGAAACGAATGTTCCTTCCTCTTCGATGAAACACACGAGTCCCCGGTGACATTTTCGAATGCAATGCAATTATGTCGAAAGTGACGCAAGAGGGGTAAGGATAAGCAGATGTGTATAGCTTTTGTGAGACTTGCTACCTTCAACCTTTCTTTTGTAAATACTGCTTCGAGTGATTTACATACTTCTGATCCACCTTCATCTACTTCTAATCCAACTCCATCTACTTCCACATCTGTTGGTTTAGCCGCAACATCAGAATCAGATTTTTCTATTTCTGATTCTGATTCTTCTCCATCGGACAACTTAGGAAATATTCTTTGTCTCCTATCTCTATTCCTGATGTTTTGGCTAAACCGCGGT